ATTACCTCGTATAACGGGAAGGCCGTCGCTCTGTAAAACCATACACAACTAGAGGGCGATTTTTCCGCTCCCTGGTTATATACGATGTCCCCAAACGTAGTTTTTTTTTTTTGGGGAGGGGGGGCTTATTCCTGATAACTTCCCGGTCCCTAATCCTCAAATTCACGGAAAGGCTATGGGATCCAAATGTGGATTATGTTTGTCTTTTTATAGGAAAATTTGAAAAGGAAGCCTAGACTAAATGCGTCCTATAGCCCTTTATTTTGAAAACATCTTTGTCTTCATGAAGTTCCTTAATTCGATACATCCTACGATCAAATTTACCCACACATACTTTGAAACTTCAGTGAATTTCCTTGATTGTAATTCAATTCTATTGGGAAGCTTTTGACCGACCTCTTCTCTAAAACTACTGACTCTCACCTATATCTCCACTTCTCATCCTGTCACTCTCTCAAGCCACAACCTTTCACTCCACTTACTTGTGCTTCTTTAAAAATATTACTCTCACAGGCCTGCTCCAACTCTATTGAACTTGTCTGGCAACAAATGGAAAACTACGTCAGTTGTCGCAATGGCTTTGAGAGTAACCAGGTGAAGGAGTTGAGTTCATAGAAGCCTGCGCGCGAATCATGCCAAAAATAAACTGGAATAGTTATGTCCGACACATACGAGTACAAGACATAGAGAAGCAGTACATGGAATTCGACAAATATGCCGACGGGCAAACAGATATCCTCGTTATTCTACCAGGTGAATCTTCTTCAGAGTTACCATCAGGGGATGACTGAATGGCATGAAGTTTTATATTTAGCATTCCTGCTGTTCTTGGGAATAAAAACTGCCTGTGGCAACCCTATTTTTCAAAGCTGGAGATTAGGGGAAGAGTTCTGCCAACTAGCTAACATTTTATGGCCTCGCATAGGTTGACGTTTCAAACTCGCCGAATCCCAGTGACTCGACTATACCCTGAATGCATCGCCTCCAGCCAGACGGTTGGACCTACCCTTTTCCTTCCCCCTCCTCTCCTGGAGATAGGATGTAAGACCGGAGGCAGATGTCTAATGATAAGAATCAGGGAACCTGTCACCCGACCCCCTTACGTGTTTCCGCGATGCAAACGCCACATTGATATAGCCTTCTCACTGCGGGTGCCGAGTTTACTCAACCGGTATATTCCATTGCTCAGTGTTTCGTCGAGTATCCAGGACCAAGCAGATTTAGGTCGTAAGAGTGAGCAACGGATTCCTGCTAGTAGCCCGCTCGGTGTCGCTGTCGCCAGTGTCCTGACAAATGATATTTACAATAAAAAGGTAGCACTGCAACCCGTCAAAGCATGAAACTTATTAATTAATTCATTTTATCAATTAATTAATTAATTAGCTTCCCATGTGTACACGCCGAGTAGACCCTACTTTTATGATTGAGTAGAAGAAAGGTAAGCAGTTTCAGGCTGAGTTTCCTGGACAATACAAGCCTGAACTGTATCACGCTCGGTAAAGAACTTCCGAGATGAAGGGACATTGCAGAACCAGAAAAGAGGCAATAATTGCCGTCACAAAACAACAAACTCATCAGAAAACATTTGACTGATAAACGGAGAGAATAAACCGTTCCCCCCAAAAATCGACTTGCATGCTCTCACAGTCCCGTTTGCTATCTCGAACATCAATACAAAGAATTCTGCACGAGATAATGTTTCCTTAGAGCTCGGAAGGATCTTTTTTCCGGATGAAGCTCATTTTCCGTTATCCGGTCATGTCACTAAGCAAGACATACATATTGTTACGGTACGACTTTTTCGTGTCGTAGTCCGTCGTGGGGTCCGGGTGGAAATAAGGTGACAAGTGGATACGGTGACAGCAAAACAGGTGTTTTTATTCTTTTTCTCTACTCATCCAGTATTAAAACCAATTCTTCTTCTGGGTCCGAAGGCGCTGCGGGATCCTGGTGTCCGGGGGCCGGCGTCGCTCGGGTTCTTCCTCTCGGAGGGTCCCACTCCATTGTGGTGGATGACCCTAAGGTCTCCACACGAACTGCGGAAGAGAGGGGGGGATACGAGGTTACGTCCCACGGAGGATGGCTGCTATTCTCTCCCGGGCTGCGGTCTAGCTGGGCCGTCGCAGAGAATGTTTCGACCGTACTCGGCAGGGCTTAGGTCGAGCCTGCTTTCGGGCCATTACGGGTCGGCACCGCTCAGGGCTTAGGTCGAGCCTGACTTGATGCGAGGAACCTTACTTCACAGGGCTTAGGTCGAGCCTGACTTTTGCTGCCTCGCTGAGGGTTCCATTTTCCGACTCGCTTTCCCGGGAGTCCTTCCTGGGACCGGCTTGCGAACGGCCGTTCGTTCTTGCTGGTGACTCCTCAGCATGTTGGGTTGGAAGGCATGCCATACTTTCTTACTTTTTACAATATATCTCTAAGTAACTATTAGATCGGGACCAGCGCATATGTTTTAATCTACTACATATCATGAATGGCTAACACCGGGGCTTACTAGTGACACCTAGTGGCGGAGACTGTAAACGAAGGTCAGGGGTCGCATATTTGCTATTCTCTTACCGTGACAATATGTTGTTAGTCCAAGGAATACGAGGAAGGTCACCGTTTGATGTTCTATAGGGCGCGCAGGCGTTGTTGGCACCTAATTTTCAAGCTCCAAAATGGTGAAGCTGTGACTGTCAACAATCAACGTTACATGGTACAAGTTTATCCCAGATCTTCCACGGACGCCAGGAATAAACACGTATACCGAGTGTTTTCAGCAAGATGGAGCAACACCACACGCTGCAGACCTCACACTGGCTGCCTTGCCACAATGGTTTCCTGGAAAAAGGCTTCTTTCACGACAAAATATGGCCAGCCAGCCAGCCTGCCCAACCTAACGCCACCTGATTTCCGGCTTTGGGGGTATTTCAAGTCCAAGGTCTATGCCAGTGACTCACAAACTGCAGGAACCGAAAAATAACATCATCCAGGAGATCTAGGTAATCCCCATCGACACGATTCAAGGAAATGTGGAAAAAAACGAGATCGAGTCTTACTAATTGGTAAATTCTGCAAAAATGTCTAATTAATGATTACATGACATGCCAATCGTCCAGTCATTATTTCTAAGCAATTTTGCAGATAATCGTAATAGGCTTTTTTGGGGTGGGGCCACCCTCTAGATGAAACATTCTAGAAAGTTCGAGCAGATAACAATGATGACTGTCTTGAAAGCAGGTTAAACAAATTATAAATGCTAAAAGCGTAGATATATTTTTCACCTCCATCGCTCCTACTCTTGCAGCTCATGAAAACAAATTTGCCTCGATAAATAATATGCCTAGGGGATAAATGTTTACATGATAAATCAGTCTCTCCAGATCAAGTTTTAATTAACAGCCATTTACAAGATCGGTCGCAATTTTTGCGGCTCAGCGGATGTACAACAAACGACGGACCTGCATTTAAAAAGACCATGCTCATTGAGATGTAATTTATTTAATCGAAATTCAGAAATGTCTTGTCAGACCGAGAGCTCGGCTACCTTTCACAGACGCGCTTAGCCTACAAGTCTATGCCTTGTCTACGCCATAGGCTAGGCGGGAGAACACCAGAGGAGAATATTGGTTCCTAACCATGTTAGCCTAAGCGCACGAAACTCGCATGACTTTTCTAGAGCTAGGCGGAAAGAACTATGTGCAGATACTACTGAACTTGGTTTCCATTCTCTCCTCGTTCGATCTCAAGGTATATTGGGGGAAGTGGTGGAATGCGCCAAGGTGTTCTCCCACGCACAGGCGGGCTTCTTCCTCATCCACCAATAAATCCACTATGCTGGCTCCGTTAGGGATTACACACATGTACAGTGGGCGATTCCATCTTTTTCCCCCTTTTCCATGAAATATCATTTCTTTAGAGAGTTTCGAGAGGCCTCTTGCATCCCGTACAGGATCTTCAATTTTCATTTTCCTTTGTCTTTCCCATATAGGCCGTCACTAGCTTCCACCGAACCTTCTCTGGTTTTAAAATCCCCAACCAACAGCAATTTGTAATCCAGATACTCTTCTCTTGTTTCTCGTAGAAACGTATTCAATTTCGAGATATGCACGTGAGACTGCATATTTTGAACCAACTGGAGGGAAACGTATAGAAACAAAAATCAGCTTCTGCTTGTGTCAATAAGCTGTCTTTTTCTCTCTTCATTAATCTGCTTTGAGGTTGGAATTGTTTTTTCCTTAATATATATTACGATACCTCCTGACGGTCTTCCTCCTTTCCTGTTCTCGTCCGTTCTTTCATAACAGCTCTACCCGCTCGAGGAAACCTTCGTCAATTTCTAGGTGCTGCGACATATTCCCCGCAAATGCGCACGACGTGGTTCATCGTTGGGTTTAGTCTCGTGCAAGAGTTGAACCGGTTAGTTTCATTCGTCTGTGAAGCACTCGTCGCAATGTGATTAGCGGTAGATTCAGTTCTGCAGAGGCCCTTCCGGTGGAATTCCGGGGACTGCGTGCGTGTGTCTCTCGAATGTTTATATACACTATAAACTAGACATTGAACTCCATGCTTGTCGTTTGAATATTGTAGCCTGAGGTCCTCTTGCCCATACACCCAGCCGGATTAGGAACTACCGACTTGAGCTGGAAGAAATGCGCTTCTCCATATTTTCGCTGGAAATTCCAATAAGTTACGAGTATGGTATTAGTGAATGAAACGTGACGAACGGAGCAGGTACCGTTAATTTTCCGTCTGGAAATTTCCTTACTTCCACTTTCCGAGGACGCTTTACTCATCTATATCTCTTAACGTCACGGAGCCCTTAAAAACTGTCAACACAAAGAAGTGTTCGGCGCTTTTATTGTTCTCACTGGAGTGATGACTTTCACTTAAATACCGATAAGAGGAGAGATAGCAGGCGCCCTCACCCGAGTTTCTATCGCCAAGCCCAGGGTATTCAGCTCCAGGCAACTCGAACGTTGTCCCCTTTCGGTTTTCCCATCATCCCTCGACAGATGGCAACCAAGGCGGTGGTAGATTGGAGTAGGCTTAGGCGCCTCATATTCTCTCTGTTTGTATCGCTGGCGGTGGGGCGGCGGGTCGGAGCGCAAGATCGAGTCATGATGATATCGTGCGACGGATTCCGACACGATTACCTTTCCCTCGCGGATACGCCTAATTTGGACAGGCTGAGAGAGAATGGAGTCTACGTACCGAAGATGAAGCCGATCTTCCCATCCATCACCTTCGTGAATCATCAAGCCATCGCCACGGGTCTCCACGCCGAGACCCACGGAATCATAGCAAACGATATCATCGATACCGAGACGGGAGAACTGGTAAACATGTTCGTGGACGGTGAGAAATTTGCTACCGCGGACCCACGCATCATCCCCATCTGGGTAAGTCTACGTAACTGGTGTGGGACACTTTTAGTAGGTTGAAGCTCGGTGGTGTTGTTCATGAACTTTGACCTAACTCTCGTTTAAATTTTGAGTGTCCACCTCATCTACAGTTTCACTACCTCCGCCTGATGCGCTTAGGCTACTAGCCTAAACCTTCCTAGGCCATAGGCTATGCGAAAGGAAAAGGGATGCGCACTAGTACGCTGGTTGACGCGGCAAGGTTAAGCCGAGGTCTTTCCATTGTAGCCTCGCTAGGAACCTGTTGCACTTCCAGACTGAATGGTAATACTTGTTTAGTCCTCACTGTTAGCTTTAATCCATCGTGACGGATGTTTGGAGTCCACTTTCACCCCCAATCGATTTCTGCCTATATTTGAATAAGCTTCGCGCCGATAGCGAGAGCCTGATACGGTGATTTTTATTATCAATTGGTGGTACACAACTTATGCAAATAATAGATATCTCTATGAATCACACAATACCCTATATTTATTCTATTAATAGTTACATAATTTTTCAATCGAGTTAAACTCGTATGCATGAAATGACTTGACGGCCTATCTGACCCGGAACTCTGCTATCGTAGCCTACGCGAAAGGCTTACTGGCCTACGCCTTTCCAGGCCATAGGCTTAGCGGGCGGGTATAGGATGATGAGTATCAATTAGTCGTTGGATACGGATGGACTAAGGAGTTTTCATTACATGTCGGAAGACTCTAGATAGCAAGGTAAGCTTCAGGGTAATTGTTTTCTAAAAAGGTTAGAATATTCAAACAGAATATTCCAACCTCCAAGAGCCGTCCTTACTGGCATTTATGAAGACATTATCAGGAACGTGCGTTCTCAAAACAGTAAAGAATCCCGGATTCGTGCATGTTAGTTAAACCCATTCCCATTCAGTGAGTTTTAGGCCACCTTGCCCCAGGTCTCTGCAAATTTAGCCTAACGCGCGTGGCTCTCGAGTCTGTGCCTTTTTTTTTTACCATGGGTTTGGTTGAAGGAGGGCTGCGTTCTCGTATGTTTGTGGATGCGAATGAGCTCAGTCAACCATTTAGTATGAATGGTCGAGTAGGTTTCTTGACTTGATGCATGAGGTGCGGTCAAAAACAAGCGGCTTTTTTTTATGAAGCCAAACCCTACATAGCAGAACGAATTATGATCGTTTCCTTTCGATGAAGGAGTTTCGTCGCTTCACCCACTTCCTGGAGACCTCAGCGACCCGTTGTCCTGCGCTGAGTAACCGGAAGATTGACGATCCGCAGAGCACGGTGATCCTTCATTGTGGGGAACAGTGCAAAGTCAGTGGGGGCCAAGTTTGTTCGGTCGTAGTCGTACCTTGTAGCATGGGATGAGCTAGAATCACGCCTTCGCTATCAAAGAAAATTGGGTACATCACTTTGAAAACCGACTTCTTTCGAAACTTGCGGGGGGGGGGAAGGAGAAATGTTGTGCTTCCACTGAAGGGATTGGTGCTTCGTCTCGCGCTCGTACAAATGGAAGCGTGACTCAACCATGGTGACGATCTGATTCAGGAACCAGTCTCCCTTGGTCTCCATTTCCAGCTGTGGGAAATCCTCTGACGGGCTGCCTACTTGTCATCCAGCACGAGGGAAGCCACCTTCGTCATGTCGAGCTTGTCATGAGTAATCGTCAGCACTGAACCGTGGGATATGTATAGCTTTTTCACTATCTTCTTCACAGTTGTGTGACGATCGCTTCATTGTCAGATTCTCCTCAGCCCGAGCATCTGTCACCACCGAATTCCTTCTCAATGTTGGTCCTCTCTTGAATTCACTAATTCAGCGTGCAGTGTTGCCACGTGTTTTTGACCGCACCTCGTGGTTCCATTCTACTCAAACCTCCAGTTCATGGAGGTATTAATAGTGCCACTTCCACATCACGGAGAGAGAAAGAGAAACTTGTAAATTTATTTGAAGGGGCGGCATTGTACGCAAGACAGTCGGGTATGTAACTTATCCAAGATTCAATCCCACTATCTTCTTCACCAGATTACAATGACAATGGCATTGCCTGACCCTATTGCCTTTTTATTCCTATGTACTCCTTTACTTTCTCCCTCCTCCTAAAAAAAAGTATGTTAATCTTACAATGTCAGGAGCTCAGATTTATGTAAATAGGTGACGAATGAAGAGGCAGGGGAAGGAAGGTATTCGGGAGTGAGTATGTGGGCCGGAAGTAATTTTCACTGGGGCCCAAATAAAGCACTTCCCACTCATCTCACGTTGTACAATGGGAGCGTGCCGTGGGAGGAGCGAGTGGACATCGCCCTTTCCTGGTTCTCCGACCCGGATCGACCGGCCAATTTCGTCGTCTTCTACTTGGAGGAACCCGATAGAACGGGGCACGATAACGGGCCGGATTCTCCGGAGGTGAAGGCGATGGTGAAGAAGGTGGATGCATTGTTTGGATATCTCGTGTCTCGGCTCGAGGCTCTGAGCCTGTTAGACAGGACAAATCTCATCTTACTTTCGGACCACGGGATGCTGGGAGTGAATCGCAGCATGGCAATAAACCTAAACTCCATCCCCGTCCCTCCCAGTGATTACTTGCATGCCACCAACTCTCCACTAGCACTCATCTATCCGCTGGAAGGTAGGTCGTTGCACTCCTTCCCTCCTTTTCACGATGGGAACGTTCAGTTTTTGTCGTCCACATGGCAGGGAAAGAGGAAAAAGTTTATCAGGGATTCTTCAATGCATCCATGACGAAACCATTCACAGTGTACAAAACGGAAAACACCCCCAAAGAATGGCATTACGGACCCACATCACATTCCCCACCATTGTTCCTAGTTGCGGGCAAAGGATATACTTTCAGTGATGATGCCTGGTTGCTGAATACCCCCAAAGGTTTCTTTACCCTCGTTGACACCATTTTGCCCTTTTCTTTCTATGGTCGCATATTGAGTATTTTATTTTTGACCAGACCCGAGGAACGAGATGGTCGGGGTCCACGGATACACCAATTCCTTTCCCGAAATGCAGGCCTACTTGATCGCCCACGGCCCGGCATTCAAGAAGGGGTACGTCTCCCCCAAAGATGCCGTTTTCAACAATCTTGATGTGTATCCTTTGCTCTGTCACCTCTTGGGAATCCAAGCTCGTCCAAATAACGGAACGCTGGAAAACTCGAAGAAATTTCTGAAGACAACCACCTCGACTGGCCACGGTTTCGGGTCAGTGTCGTCGCTGGGTCTCTGAAATTTCACAAGTTCGAGATTTCCTCGTAAAAGAGATTGGTTTTCTGTCACCACCATAGTAAGAGGAGAGATAGCAGGCGCCCTCACCCGAGTTTCTATCGCCAAGCCCAGGGTATTCAGCTCCAGGCAACTCGAACGTTGTCCCCTTTCGGTTTTCCCATCATCCCTCGACAGATGGCAACCAAGGCGGTGGTAGATTGGAGTAGGCTTAGGCGCCTCATATTCTCTCTGTATCGCTGGCGGTGGGGCGGCGGGTCGGAGCGCAAGATCGAGTCATGATGATATCGTGCGACGGATTCCGACACGATTATCTTTCCCTCGCGGGTACGCCTAATTTGGACAGGCTGAGAGAGAATGGAGTCTACGTACCGAAGATGAAGCCGATCTTCCCGTCCATCACCTTCGTGAATCATCAAGCCATCGCCACGGGTCTCTACGCCGAGACCCACGGGATCATAGCAAACGATATCATCGATACCGAGACGGGAGAATTAGTAAACATGTTCGTGGACGGTGAGAAATTTGCTACCGCGGACCCACGCATCATCCCCATCTGGGTAAGCCTACGTAACTGGTGTGGGACACTTAAAGTAGGTTGAAGCTCGGTGGTGGCGTTCGTGAACTTTGACCTAACTCTCGTTAAATTTTGAGTGTCCACCTCACTTACAGTTTTCCTGCCTGATGCGCTTAGGCTACTAGCCTAAACTTTCCTAGGCCATAGGTTATGCGAAAGGAAAAGGGATGCACACTAGTACGCTGGTTGACGCGGCGAGGTTAAGCCGAGGTCTTTCTATTGTAGCCTCGCTTGGAACCTGTTGCACTACCAGACTGAAAGTTAATACTTGTTTAGTCCTCACTGTTGTCAGCTTTAATCCAACGTGGCGGATGTTTGGAGTCCATTTTCAACCTAATCTATTTCTGCCTATATTTGAATAAGCTTCGCGCCGATAGCGAGAGCCTGATACGGTGATTTTATCAATTGGTAGTACATAACTTATGCAAATAATAGATATCTCTATGAATCACACAGTACTCTATATTTATTCGAGTTACATAATTTTTCAATCGAATTAAACTCTTATGCATGAAGTGACTTAACGGCCTATCTGACCCAGAACTCTGCTATCGTAGCCTTACGGGCTTACGCCTTTTCAGGTCGTAGGCTTAGCAGACGGGTATTGGACCATGAGTACCAATTAGTCGTTTGATACGGAAGGAATGAGGAGTTTTCATTACATGTCGGAAGACTAGATAGCAAGGTAAGCATAAGATTGTTTTCAAAAGACCAAAAAGGGGTGTACAGAGAGGGCTACTGTACAGCTAAGGAAGTGAGCTATTGACGGTCTAGACAATTTACTAGCGGATTCCTGTCGGACGCGAAGACGTGGCCGCGAGTGGAGCATTCAATAATGGCAAACAGAATATTCCAACCTCCAAGAGCCATCCTCACTGGCATTTACGAAGACATTACTGTCTTGAGGACGCACGTTCCTGCTGAAGAATCCCAGATTCGTGCATTTTAGTTACCCCATTCCCATTCAGTGAGTTTTAGGCCACTTTGCCTTAGGTCTCTGCAAATTTAGCCTAACGCGCGTGGCTTTCGAGTCTATGCCTTTTTGACCATGGGTTTGGTTGAAGGAGGGTTGCGTTCTCGTATGTTTGTGGATGTTAATGAGGTCAGTCAACCATCATTTAGTATGAATGGTCGAGTAGGTTTCTTGACCTGGTGCATGAGGTGCGGTCAAAAACAAGTGGCTTTTTTTATGAAGCCAAACCCTACATAGCAGAACGAATTATGATCACTTTCTTTCAATGAAGGAGTTTCGTCGCTTCACCCACTTCCTGAAGACCTCAGCGACCCATTGTCCTGCGCCGAGTAACCGGAAGATTGACGATCCGCAGAGCACGGTGATCCTTCACTGTGGGGAACAGTGCAAAGTCAGTGGGGGCCAAGTCTGTTCGGTCGTAGTCGTACCTTGTAGCATGGGATGAGCTAGAATCACGCCTTCGCTATCAAAGAAAATTGCGTACATCACGTTGAAAACCGACTTCTTTCGAAACTTGCGGGGGGGGGGGGGGGGAAGGGGAAATCTTGTGNGGGGGGGGGGGGAAGGAGAAATCTTGTGCTTCCACTGAAGGGATTGGTGCTTGGTCTCGCGCTCGTACAAATGGAAGCGTGACTCAACCATGGTGATGATCCGATTCAGGAACCAGTCTCCATTTCCAGCTGTGGGAAATCCTCTGACGGGCTGCCTACTTGCCATCCAGCACGAGGGAAGCCACCTTCGTCATGTCGAGCTTGTCATGAGTAATCGTCAGCACTGAACCGTGGGATATGTATAGCTTTTTCACAGTTGTGTGACGATCGCTTCATTGTCAGATTCTCCTCAGCCCGAGCATCTGTCACCACCGAATTCCTTCTCAATGTTGGTCCTCTCTTGAATTCACTAATTCAGCGTGCAACACTCCTGTACGACAGGGCGCTGTCACCACAATATCCGACCAACTCTTCATGGATCTCTGCGATTTTTCCCTTTGTGGATGAAGAATTTTACATTCTTACTGCTCGGCTAAACTGACCAATGGTTTTTCTGCCACACTGACGCACGTACTTTTTTGTTGCGTCGTCCTTGTCCACCACAACCTACGAAAAAAAAGCCGCCTGTCTGTAGGTCTTGGATGCAACTACTAGCACTTCCGTTTTGTGTGCCGCTTTCGCTCTCGTACAGGCGTTGACCTACCTCTGACTGTACTGGATACAGCACATGTCAGAGGGTGGACTACCTCTTATAGGTTCCGTGGAGTGTCTGGGATATCAGTCTCTTTTTTACCTCACCTATTTGAGGTATGATTGACTTAAGTTCACGGACACTCTCTGTTTAATCTAGATCTCCTGTGCGGATAAAATCATATATTCCTATTGAGAATCCTTTTGGAACGCATGAGCTTGTTTATGGCCTGGACTCAATGAATCTGTCTCGAATATGTGGATAACAAATGATGAAGCGTCCGTGTTTATTGATTCCTATAATGAGACTAGGCGAGACATATGGCAAGGTACTAAACAATCCTGCGAGGGACGATTCCAGGGAAAGAGGGAAGGGAACTTTTGTGTACTGTGCGAAAAGCGAGACCCTTATCTCCATCTAGTGGCCTGGCGAAGAACTTGAAGGTGTTCACTTCAATACGAGCGATGAGGGAGCATTTGGGGAGTAATAAGAGAGTAAATTTGAAAAGCTCACGGTGTGCTCACTTTTTACTCCCCAAACGCTCGGAATTTTCTAAGAGTGCAGTGTTGCCACGTGTTTTTGACCGCACCTCGTGGTTCCATTCTACTCAAACCTCCAGTTCATGGAGGTATTAATAGTGCCACTTCCACATCACGGAGAGGGAAAGAGAAACTTGTAAATTTATTTGAAGGGGCGGCATTGTACGCAAGACAGTCGGGTATGTAACTTATCCAAGATTCAATCCCACTATCTTCTTCACCAGATTACAATGACAATGGCATTGCCTGACCCTATTGCCTTTTTATTCCTATGTACTCCTTTACTTTCTCCCTCCTCCTAAAAAAAAGTATGTTAATCTTACAATGTCAGGAGCTCAGATTTATGTAAATAGGTGACGAATGAAGAGGCAGGGGAAGGAAGGTATTCGGGAGTGAGTATGTGGGCTGGAAGTAATTTTCACTGGGGCCCAAATAAAGCACTTCCCACTCATCTCACGTTGTACAATGGGAGCGTGCCGTGGGAGGAGCGAGTGGACATCGCCCTTTCCTGGTTCTCCGACCCGGATCGACCGGCCAATTTCGTCGTCTTCTACTTGGAGGAACCCGATAGAACGGGGCACGATAACGGGCCGGATTCTCCGGAGGTGAAGGCGATGGTGAAGAAGGTGGATGCATTGTTTGGATATCTCGTGTCTCGGCTCGAGGCTCTGAGCCTGTTAGACAGGACAAATCTCATCTTACTTTCGGACCACGGGATGCTGGGAGTGAATCGCAGCATGGCAATAAACCTAAACTCCATCCCCGTCCCTCCCAGTGATTACTTGCATGCCACCAACTCTCCACTAGCACTCATCTATCCGCTGGAAGGTAGGTCGTTGCACTCCTTCCCTCCTTTTCACGATGGGAACGTTCAGTTTTTGTCGTCCACATGGCAGGGAAAGAGGAAAAAGTTTATCAGGGATTCTTCAATGCATCCATGACGAAACCATTCACAGTGTACAAAACGGAAAACACCCCCAAAGAATGGCATTACGGACCCACATCACATTCCCCACCATTGTTCCTAGTTGCGGGCAAAGGATATACTTTCAGTGATGATGCCTGGTTGCTGAATACCCCCGAAGGTTTCTTTACCCTCGTTGACACCATTTTGCCCTTTTCTTTCTATGGTCGCATATTGAGTATTTTATTTTTGACCAGACCCGAGGAACGAGATGATCGGGGTCCACGGATACACCAATTCCTTCCCCGAAATGCAGGCCTACTTGATCGCCCACGGCCCGGCATTCAAGAAGGGGTACGTCTCCCCCGAAGATGCCGTTTTCAACAATATTGATGTGTATCCTTTGCTCTGTCACCTCTTGGGAATCCAAGCTCGTCCAAATAACGGAACGCTGGAACACTCTAAGAAATTTCTGAAGACAACCACCTCGACTGGCCACGGTTTCGGGTCAGTGTCGTCGCTGGGTCTCTGAAATTTCACAAGTTCGAGATTTCCTCGTAAAAGAGATTGGTTTTCTGTCACCACCATAGGTGCGATGGGAAGATGGCAGCCCTTGCGATCGGCCTGACGCTGTTTCGTTCAGTCCGTCCGCAGTTTCCATAGCTATCGGGAAATTGGACTCGGAAAGAGGACCTTGTCGAGTTCTCCGGGGTCATTCGCGTAGCCCCGCGCTGTGCGAGTGGCTGCTTGAATGAAATATTAGTGTTAAGTTGGCGAAAGAGATAATCGCAGAGGTGTATTGGTCAAATGTGTGGAAAATCTGCGCCGGGTCTGGTACTCGAGTTAAGTGAATGCGTTGAATATGTCAAGTTGGATGCCCACGGCACTGTTTTCATTGAGTCATTCTGGGGTTTAGAAAATGGTGGCAATTATGTTGGCTGTGTGCCAACATGAAAAGTACCTTTGATCACGCAGGTCTCCCCTTTTCAGGGATTCCAGCTTCAAGGCGGTTCTTCTGTGAGACGGAGAGAGCACCTCTGCGTTAGTAATTGTATTGTGTGCTTTCTCTATATTCAAAAGCTTCTTTATCGCATTTCGTGAGGTTTTTGCGTGTTCACCCTGTATTATCAATGGTTGTGACCAACAGCAATGCTTACTTGTAATTTGTTTAATTTAGTTGTAATTGTTATAGTAATACCAAAATTGCAAGTGTGAACCAGTTTTAGGAGTATGTTCAAGAGATAAAATAGTGCTTTGTGTGACTGAAACGTCGTAAGCCGAGTTGAGAAGGGATCTTGCAGTTCTGCAACATCGGAATCGCGAGGAATTATTTCATTTCCGTGTAATAAACTTGTATGTATTCGGAGTTCATTCCAGATCGCAACATGTAACCTTCAAATCAACGATGTCCCTTGGAACATGATAATGTTGATGCCGAAATGCTTCCCATTCTGGAAATGAAACACTGTGAGAAACATTTTTGCAAGCTCGTAGGGTTTCAGTGACAGACTTGATGAGTTCTCCACTTATTGTGCTCGCGTGCCGGCAAGTTAGGCTTATCCCCCATGAAGTGCATTTGTTCGTTCCTGGGAAAATTACTGTGTCTCCAGAGTTAATCATGTCATGTGATTATTTGAGTTTTTATGTAAATAGACATGTTTAAACAGGAAGTCGCAGTATTTTTTTCACGTCTCCCCTATTCATAGCACCTGCTTGCCCGAAGGACAGTGGGTCTTCCTCACAGCAAGCTTAGGGTTGCGACAAGGTATGACATGTCGTCAGCCCCATCCAATTACTCTCAAAACCTCATTCACCGCTTCAAACTTAAACGTTGTAATTCATACCTGATGTGTGAGAGGTACTCAAAATTTTTGAGCCTGGGGCCGCTTACGGACGTGACCAAATTTGTGCAGGCCGCACTAAAAAAAAAAGTCTACCAATACGAATTTAAAATTCAGTCAGCCCAATATCACTCATGCAATGGTGTTTATAAACACAATGGAGACTTGCAGAATTCGTGTTTGCTGCAATAAAACTAAAGAAGGGAATATTTAGAATTGTTTTCCCATATTCACTGGTTCTCAGTTTCGTTGACATTCAGCTGGATTTGAGTGCCCGATTCATCTTGTTCTTATTCTTCAGCCTGTGGTTATGCAGATATGTCTCTTGTCGTAGCTTCGCCCTAGCATTTTCGAGCTTCCTCCAAAGTGCCCGGACTTCTTTGCGGCCATTGTGTTTCATGTTCAGTCGCTCGGAAGATTGAAGACAATCCGGATTGTCTTCAAAGAAACTTCTAACAGTCACTAGCAAGTGCTGCAGTTGGTTGATCAATTCCAGGACTGATTTCTGTATCAGAAGTACGTGACTTGCAGTAGGTTGAGAAGCTGGAACTGTGGCTTCGATGTTTGTGTGATTATAGTCTTTGGCAGTTCGACTAGAGAATATGTTTGCTCGTGTCCTCTGAGAATGGGTACAGAATCTCTCATCGGGAACCTTTTGTGATACAGAAATCGTATATGATAGGAATTGTCTGCAAAGTGAACAGACGTATGCTGGCTATGGGTACAGCAGATAAAACCACTATTGGTCTTCCATTATCTCACGCTTGTGATCGGGGTGGGAAGGTGTGGCCTTCGCACGGAGTTATGACGCCATGTCTCGATTTATCGAAGATGCCATCCATTCATGGATGACTCGACATCGATGATCTATTCACCAGGGCAGTCTTAATATTTTTAAATTACTCAAGCCCATGCGAGTTCCGCTGTCTTCTCCTGTATTGCACTGTACCCAATCCAATGGGACATTTTCCCTTTCAAAATCATTTACCGATACATCGCGATGGTCGAACAAACAATCGATACCGTCGATCTATCGTGACAGCCCTACTTAAAAATGTCAAGGAATGAGGATCAGGCATGCGACTCCGCCAGGGGTGATTGACCCCGGGAGTAAAATGCTGATCCTTGCGTGCCGCATCAGCCGCTAGATGTCTCCAGCGAGCCCCGGTGTTTGTAGATGGATGCTTAAGAGTTAACCCCTGTACTTCTATGTTAATGTTTCTCTGAGATAGAAGATGTATTTTAACACACCTGGTTTCGTAGAGAGTAAAACAGTGGCAGCATTTTAGTTCAGCGTTTGGAATGGTTTTAGGTCAAAGCAAACGATCGCCTCATGATCTTTCGCCAGCCAGTCCACGCGAAGACGTCGGAAGCGCGCTTCGAAAGGCAGAACAACCATAGAACGTAAATAGAACTGGAGGGGACACAGCCATGTGGGCAAATCCCGTCTTATGACCCTCGCACCCGCCATATTGGAAATCTGTGCCGTGGACCTTCCCCATTGAAGACAATTACGATCTCGCAGCTAAGAAATCTCTTGAAACGTCGATTAGTCTAAATCTGGAAATGTTACTACTGAGATATGATACCAAGAAGTTCAGAAGACACGAAAAGGACCCGAGTGTGCTTGGAGGGTGTGTTGTACCTACTTCCGAAAGCCTGGCCTAGTTTTTTGAAAGTGATGTTTCAATTTGATCTCATGATGGATCAAGAGCGTCCCCATGAACTATAAGGCAGTGTAATTGTTTCCTCCCATGTTTCTGTTGGCTCCAAAGTTCAATGTGATATGGTGGAAAACCTTCATCCATATCTTTTCATTATAAACTATTGAAACATTTTCTGCTTCATTGCAGGAAGAAAATATTGAAATGAAGCATGCAGGTTTTGGTTCACTGGTGGTAAAAAAGAATTGCTTTGGTGCGCTTCCTTCTGACAGAGGTACTCTGAATCTCAGCATTAGCTTGTTTCCCCCGATGTGTCCCATTCTGACTTTGGAATAACATTGAAGAATGCATTTAACAAGATTGAGAAGATGACTGTAATCAGGACTGCAGTCCATGAAATGAGATGTCAAGTCTGGGAACAGATTCTCCATTGCAAGATTCTGTTGCACCCGGTGAAAGATTTTCTGGAGGGCTCTAGGTGATGATGATGCACCCACTGGAAGAACACAGCGGATGGCAAGCTCACACATTTTACAAACTTTTAAAACACCAGCTGATGGCACTTTTAGCCCATGGGATTTTCTGTTCACAATAGATGTTGCACGACAGGGCATTGCCACAAGCATGGGACTTGCTTTAGCACTGCTCCAACAACATTATGGATATACAAGTCAAGGTGTGCCCCCGTGGGAACATATTGATGGTCATCTGTGTCACTTTCAGTATGTTCAACATATCCCCTCCTCTCCAATGAAATGTCATATGATGAGGCATTCTGTGAAATTCTGGAATTGTAGGTTTCATGACCATATAAGTAAAAGAATTGATGTTCAGTTCAGCATAGAATGCTGCAATGGAAATCATATTAGTGCTTATACCTGGAAGTGACAGAGTATAGAAGTAGAATCCATGGCCTTGCAATTCCCATTCTCCTTTCCTTTGACTTGGTGGTGGATCAGGAGCTTCCTATAAGCACCCATGAATTGCAAGACAGTTGGATTGTTATTGTAGCCACCCATGCTTCTGATGGCTGAGAAGTTCGATGTGGTCTTGAGAAAGCTTGTATGTGAGAAGGTACCTGCAAAGTTAGTGCAGCAAGTGGTGTGGCAGAACCATTCATTGCAAGCTCTACCCAGTGAATGCTACATTAATGGAGAAAAATCATACTTCAGAGGTGAGCCACTCTTCTTGACAAGAGTGTTAAATAAGTGCCGCACAGTGACAATGTCTGCCATGAATCCAGTCACTGGTGTTTTCCTTGGAGTGAAGTGTAGCAATTCACCAGATGTACCAAGAAAAGTCAATGAAAAGAAAAGGACACGAAATGCTTCACCTACAGTGCATCCACAAGAGATTATTGGAATATGGATAATAGAATAGAATACTTTTACAGAAACTTACTTGTGAAACCAGGTGCTCCATCAACATATTCATACCAACGTCGTAATGTTCTTTCAGAAGGAAGGCAAAGGTCAAAGATTCGCCTTACATAATCATATGCCCTTGGACTGTAAAAATGAAGAGTGAGAGCAAAAGCTCGTAAGGCAGCAGGGTACTGCTTCCTACCATCGCCCTCCAACTTCCTCATGAACAACTCCAAAGGTGCACCATTGAAGGAATGCTCTAGAAGATCTGATGTATCATTCTTCATCAGCTGTTCCCTTTGCAATTCCTTTAGGATGTCCTGCAAGCAGATAACTTTTTTCTCTAGCCTTTTTTGTTTCCTATTAATGTATTTTAGCTGATCTGAAACAGATCTCAGCTTTTCCTGTGATTCATTAAGCTTCCTCTTGAGTTTTCTTGGGCTCTCCCTCACAGAATAGGAGTGATCTGCTAAGAAAGATGAAGCACTACACTCAGAATCTAGGGGTATATTATCTGCCAGAACTGCTGCCAATGCTCCTGCTCGCTGGGAAGTTCGTGTGGTCCTTGGATAAACAACCTGATTATGGAAAAGTGGGAAAAAAAAGTTTCATGTCAAAGCTTAGTCCCATGCATGAAGGGTGAACCAGATTCTGAAACAGGAT